CTCTTCCAACGGACTCAGGCCGAGAAAAACATTCACATGGAAGAACGAAACCTCTGCAAGTTCAATCCCTTTTATATATTAAACCTCTGCAGGTTTAATCTACTTCATATTTTTAAACAGGGATATAATGGGGTTTTTTTTATTTTTTACGGTGAGTTTTGAAAGTTTAGAAAACTTCCCTCTTTGTGTTTCAGTGTTCTCATCTCACAACACAAAACAAGTGCAACGGCAAGCAGTGCAAAAGGCCTTTTTGAAGCATTTCAAAACACACTGAAAACAGCAACGCTTACTGTAGAGACAGCTCATCCAGCCAACATTACCTGCTCATTTTATCTTGGCATGTTGTAGAGCAGAAGGGAGAAGAGCATTTTGTTGTCTTTGTAGGCATCACTAGTACATTTCATTAAGACTCTTGGCAAGAAGAGAGAAGCATTTTAAAATAATCTTTTGTCTAAGTATTTCGACAGAGAGAGACAGAAGAAAAAAAAATCTGTTTTACCAAAATTTTGCTACTTGTAAATCTAGTATCTGCTCACAGACCTGGACTCCTTGCACATTCATTTAATAAATGGACAGCAGCCAGAGATGCACACAGCAGGAACAGCACAGGGAAACTGCAGACACGAGAGTTCAATCTTGCACCACAAACTATTTCCACACAGAGACTAAACCCCCTCCTGAACCGGTGTCAGCTAGCAGAGTTTCCAGTCTCATCTGCATTAAATCCCTTAAAGGCATTTCCACTGAAAAAGAAATTAATTTTTACACTGAAAAAAATGGACTTCAGTTTACTACCCCCACTGAACAATATGGATATGATAAATATACAACTATACTTGAAAGGAAGCATCATTCAAGCCATTAAAGTTGCACTTCAGTTTTCTGTAGATACAAAGTAATTTTCAACTGTAATCATCACTCAATATTCTAAAGATTGACACAACTATAATTAATCTGTAGATGGGAAGCAATTATATGATTATTACTGCTATATAAATTTCATTATTACTGAGTCATGTGAACATGAAAGGATAAGGTAAGTTGCATTTTTTGCTAAGTAGATAAGAGTAGATAGTTATTTTGATAATATAGAGAATTTCTTCACAGCTCAGCAAGATTTTCAGTATTCCCAGTATACGATAATGAAAGCAATAAAGATTTACAACTTTACATAGAAAAAAAAAAAAGAGCTAGTAGGTATTGCTGGGGGAAGGCGATATTTCACATTCAGGTTTGTAAGAGACAAAACGATTCCTCTGCATAAACTACCAGCTGGAAAAAATGTGCTGGATACAAAGTATCCTGCAAGGAGACAGACAAAACTCTACACCATTGTATTAGGGCGAGAAAAGGAAACCAACATAGAAATACACTCATTTGTTTTACTGGTACAGCAACATAAAGCAAAACAGAGCACAGAGGGTAACTGTGGCGGGACGGGCCCTGCTGCCGTAGCTGTTTGCACTTGGGGACATCCTTTCAGCTGTTTGGCTTTAGCAGGACAGGGACTGCATGCTCTTCTACTAACTTTCCATCTGCAGAAACAATAGAAGATTTTTCAGACACCTAATTTTAACCAGGTCACTTGTGAAAATGGGAAATTTGTATTTTAATTCCTGATTAAAAACCTTTGCAGAACCAAAATTATGTAAACCTAATCAAAATCTTTTTTCATTTGAGAAGAGTTAAGAGATCCCTAGTATTGTGACTGGATTTTACCTAGCAGCATTATTTCCAAATAGCTGCCTACTCCCTCTTGCGGTGCATTGCTTCATAAAGCACATCCACAGCACACAGAGCTGCCAGCACTGCAGCCATCCATGGAAACCCGCCGGCGTCTTGGTGCCGGGGACGCAGAGGCCAGTCACAACACACGCGTCCACGCTCACCCAAAACACGGGAGCACATGGTGCTCCTGGGGTGGTCCCTCAAAAGCAAAGATCAAAGATTCAAGGAAAAAAAAGTACAGCTATCATGGCATTTCTGCAAGCAATCACTAAATGCATAGGTAGGTTATCTTGATAAAAAAGTTTCTATTCAAAATTACTTCATATCTGAACATAGCATAAAAGGTCACTTCGTTCATTATATACAGCATTTTTAGAAAGCAAACTACTAATTTATAGTATGCTATCTTCAGTCACACAGTACCAAGATTGCTTACAGGAGTGACTCAGAATTCTCCGTTCTATATTTCTATGTGATATCCAACAAAGTTGTGAAAATAGTTTATAAATCCAATCCATTTACTACTGTAGACAGGCAATACTAGAAAGAGAAGCTTGCAACCGTAAAGCTGCTGCTACTGCCAGAGTAGTGCTCAGATCTGATGCAATAAAAATATAGTTTTTAATTCTTTGTGAATACTTAAGATTCAGTATCACAAAGTTGATAGAGCCTTTCCTGAGTTCAATGGGAGTCAAGTTAAAACTCTGAGAAATTCCTACCCTGCTATCAGAATTTATCCAAACTTCTGTTGTCCTAAAAACAGGCTGAACACAGCCCTTCTACATGGCTAATATCAGAAAGAAAACTGTTTGGACATGCTAAGTGTTAATAATACTGTACACCTGTAGCCATCTCTTTTGCTTCAGTTTTTAGTATACCAAATTTACCTATTTTTTTTTAGTAAAGAAATACACGGATTCCACACAGCTGCTGTGGTTTTATCGCGCCTGTATCGTTCTGGGACACGCACCAGCCTTCCCCTGCCCTCTGCCCGCTTCGCCAAGCGAGGCTGCGGCTCAGCCCAGCAGCGCTGGGTCATGGGCACAGGGTGCCGCCGGGTGCCACGCGGGCCAGCGCGTGCCCAGCGTTCGTGTTTTGGACCCCGTTCCTTCTACTTCGTCTCCTGCATCTCATAGCGATGTTATTTCAGTAAACCTTTGTTAAAATCCTCCCATGGAAATGCAAAAAAAAAAAAAAGAATTTTATAATTTCCAGGGAAATTGTAATAGTTTATTTGTAAACCTGGAACCTTCTTTTTTACCAAATCTATGCCTTCTCTTTTAGGACTAATGACTAAGTTTTTGCCTTGAACTGGCTTGAATTAGCTTTAATTGAAGCTAATCAAATCATTAAGTCTAAAAAACACCAAAACGTCTTGCAAAACATCTTAGAGCTTTTGTTACAGAAGGAGTGAGACAGGAGTCCGCACAGCTCAGGGGAATGCAAGCGGCCTTTGGGCATGTGTTTTCATGGAAAAGCCCTGCCCTGGCAGCAGTGCGGGGCTGGCACCACACGCACACTATGATCGAGCCAGCGTTTTAGGGAACGTTTATAACATATTGGCTTTTAACAAGACCTTCAAAAAATGGAACAGAAATCCCATCCTCGGAGGTTGCACTAGGAGACTGTTTGAGGGAACAACGTTACGGTGATAGCCTGATCTGGTGACTCAGTACGCACCACGTTATGGAATATACAGACACGCTTTATGGAAAAGCAAAATAACCTCAAGAGCCAGCAACAAAGCAAGATGCCCTGAACCATTCTGCTAAAACATCCTGAAATTTAACAAAATTAAGTATTCCATATACAAAAGAGAACTGCAAAGGTTAAAAAAAGAAAAAAAACAGTCTTCCCTGCGGGAGTCGATGTGCAGAAACACCAAGTCAGACCCTCTCATTCAGATCAGCGAAGTTTTGTACATGGTGAGAACAGAGTAAAGCTGCTTTTTATATAGTAATTATCCATAGTGAACTCTACAAAAGTATTGCCTACTGACATCTCACTTGGAAAGACTATCACAAACATTTGTTTTTTGAGAACTCCCTTACTTGAGAAGAAGTCAGAATTAAAGCCAGCTTGTTTGCAATGCAGCCCAGTCACTTTCGACTTGAACCCGAGACTTCCCTCACCGAGGAAACCAGGCAGCCCGAGCAGCAAACAGCACCAGAAACCAACATTTTTAAATCAACAAGAAAAACCCGCAGCAAGAGGAGTCATTAAGGAAGCACCAGGTTGGACTTACGCTTGCGGCGAGTCGCATCAGCGCGGCTGAAGCTGAAGACACAAGTCCCGCTGCTCTGGGCACGAGTTACGGTGCCAGGGAGGCCGCTCACGGCACCGTTTCGCGGCTCTCACAGGTGCCACCATCACGGCGCCGGGGAGGCGACACCGCCGCCCACGTGCCGGAGGTCAGGCTGGCCAAAGCGAGCCCCGGTAATCC